CCCAACCTTCCTTCTGAGGAGTGGCTGGTGGGTTTGAACCGCCAGCCTTCTGGTTAGCAGTCAAGTGCCTTAGGCACTATGCGACCAGAGCTCCTAGGATGTGTTTTAAGCCAATCACTTATTTTTCTTCTTTTTAATTGTGATTTGAGTGAAAGTTTTCAGAGCAAATGCATCTTCCATACAGCAGTGCATACACATTTTGTTTCCTGACACTGACTGCAATTTCCCACAATGCAACAGCTGCTCCTCTCCCACTTCCTCCCCGTGGTCACCTCTTCCCTGTGTCCTTCTTTCCTATGCATTCCTGCCCCCTGAGCTATTTCCCTGTGCAAATGGTGCCCTTCTGATCTCCCACAATCAATTGTTCTAAGGAGCGTATCTATGTGGTGCAGTGAATTCCTTGGTATGGCTTTTCTAGCCTAGTCTTTGTAACTCCCACCAGATTATTAGGTGGGACCATGCAAATAAGGTGTGTAGAACTCTGATGTTGGGATTGGTTAGTTTGATCACTCTGCCAAGTTGTGCCTAAGGCACTTGACTGCTAACCAGAAGGCTGCCGGTTCAGACCCACCAGCCACTCCTCGGAAGGAAGATGGGGCAATCTACTTCCATAGTGATACCGCCTCAGAAACCCAAGGAGGGGTTGCTATGAGTCGGGTCCGACTCAATGGCACATAACAACACAACAACAGAGGCAGAAGGAGGATCTCACTGCCCTCAAGAGAGAGGAGCTGGAGGTGAAGTGGAGCGTGTCCTTGGATCTGAGATCCCCGCCCTAGGCTTCCTTGGCTGAGAGACACCCTGGCAGAGAGACGGTGGCAGTGGAACCAAGAGACATGAGACACAGTGGCAGACTTACCTGGCCCACATAGGCAGAGGCCAGGCTGAGAGTCCAATGACCAGAGAGGTCTGCCCAAGGGAACAGTACAGAGGACACTGTCCTGATCGAAGAATTGTATCCTGAGCATGTCCCTGAATCTGAATTGTAGCCTGCTACTTCTCTGATAAACCCCATAATCGTGAGTATTGTCTATGAGTTCTATGTGGTCATTGCAATGAATTATTGAATCCAGCAGAGAAGTAGTGAGTACCGTGAGAGGGATGGTTGGAGTCAGAGCTGGTAAAAGGCTGGAGGGTGGCATCATCTCTGGCCTCATAGGAATCAGCCTTGGGCTGCTGATGGTGATTCTATCTTCCTCTTGTGAAGTTAGAGGAGGTCAGAAGATGCCACCTCCTAGTTCTTTTTGCAATCTAGCTGTTGTAAATGTTCACCTTGTATGCCTGTCTATTGTTTAGCTAGAAGCCATAGGAGCGAGTTCAATTCCAGGCCCAAAGGGTGACCAGTGGCCATAGTCTCAGGGGTTTTACCAGGCTCTATCAGACCAGTAAGTCTGGTCTTTTTTTTTTTTTTTTTTATGATTTTGAGTTTTGTTGCATATTGTTCTCCTACTCTATCCAGGATCTCCTGCTCTGATCCCTTTCTGAACGGTTAACAGTGGTAGCTGGGCACCATCTAGTTCTTCTGGTCTCAGGGTCATGGAGGCCAAGGTTTGCATGGTCTGCTAGTCCTTTGGACTAATTGTTTCCATGCATCTTTGGTTTTCTTCATTCTTCTTTGCTCTGGACAAGGAAAGACCCATTGTTGCATCTAGATGGCCACTTGCAAGCTTTTAAGACCCCAGTCACTACTCACCAAAGTAGGATGTAGAACAATGTTTTTGTGTAGTGTGTTATGCCAATTGAGCTTGATGTCCCCTGCAACCATGGTCCCGAGCCCACAGGCCCAACAACTCCTTCCCTCAAGGTGGTTGGCTCTGGCTAAGAAGTAATTATAATTTTGCCCCATTAATTCTATTTATATGGACGTTCTTATAGCACGTACAAATGCATACGTAGAAATATTGTCTGTCAACCTTGTATACGGTCATGGGAATATTCCCTTTTGCCCAGACCTACCTGATCATTCAGCCCATCTAAGCCAATCATTTTTGAGATATAATCAGAGCAGATTGGGCCCAGAAGCAAGCAGCACCAATGGGGGAAGACTGATTGATCCATGTCACATGAAGATCACCAAGGATCCAAGAAACAGGAGCAGAAGACACAGGGACCTTCCCTGAGAGCCAACAGGCAGAGCAAGCTTCCCCCTAGACCCAGTGATGCTCTGAATTCAGACATCTGGCTTCTTAAACTGTGAGAAAACAAATTTCTTCCTATTTTTGGTTCTCAGCTTATGTCTTGTCAATAAAGTGGTTGAGGCCATCTTGGGCCTCAGAGACACACACCCCTGCAGAAAATAAATTTCTGTTCCTTGAGGCCACCCACTTGGGGGTATTTCTATCATAGTAACTGTGGTGAGATGAGTTCCTTATGTGACCTTTTGCCGTGGTTGCTCGGAAAAGCAGCTTGAGAGATTTTTCCCCTAAGCCTTTGGCCTAGTTTTCTCTCCCAGGGGGTTTATTATTTTGTTGAGGTTGATTACCATTTCCTGGGCTGGCTGTAAATACCTTGGTTTGATCATTTCTGCCCGGGCTACAGCCTGCTCTGTGATTGGTATGTACCTTGCAGGGATTAGTCAATAGACTATGCAAATGAGGTGAGTTGTCACTCAGCCACACCCACTATGCAAATGAAGTGTCTGTGGCCCACCAAGAGGGGATTGGTCAGCTCATGGCCTTGGTGGAAGGCCAGGCTTTGAAATGTGTGAAGAGTTTGTGTGTATACACAGCCAGTCCACAGGGGTCTGTCAGCCAGGAGGCAAGAAGGGAATAATACAGAAGAAGAAAGAAAACAGAAACAAGGAGGGGTGCTGGAGAGAGAGACAGAGTGAGAGAGAGAGACAGAGAGAGAGAAAGAGAGAGAGGGAGGGCGGAGAGAGAGAGAAGGAGAGAGACAGGGAGAGAGAGAGGGAGAGAGGCAAGGCATTTCCTACAAAAGCTGCAACGCTGGTCAAGGAGTGTAACACTGAAGATAGCTAGAGGCCTGGGAGAGGCTCAACAGTAGAGCTGGTGGTGACAGGCCCCAAAGAGACCCAGCAGCAGAGCTGGAAGGACAGATGGCAGGGCCATGAAGAGCCTGTCCCTCCTTGGAGAGAACAATCCTGGGAGAATACAAGGGCTGTGTCTGCACAGGGACATAGCTCAAGGGCAGGAGTGCCTGGGAGGGAAGGACACAGGGAAGAGTTAACTATGGAGAGGAAGTGGGAGGGGAGCTGTTGCATTGTGGGAAATTGTGGTCAATGCCATGAGAAAAACTATATGTGAGCTGATGTATGGAAAGTAAATTTGCTCTGTAAACTTTCACCAGGTCATAATAATAATAATAATAATAATAGTAATAGTACACTGCTTAAATCAGAAAAAAAAAGAGGACCCTGTCCTGAGGGGCCCTGAGATGAGATAAAGGCACTGTCCTGCCCCAGAGAAGGGAGTCCGCCTGCACGCTTCCTGGGTCACCCTGTTCCTGAAAAAACCACTTCATTGTAAGCACAGTTTGTTAGTTCTGGGAGACTTGCAGTGAACACACAGCCTCCCAGCTGGGGACAGGGGTTCAAAGGGGTGGAGGAGGGCAGAGAGAGGAATTCCCACATCCAAGATGGTTTGATGGATGCTGGGAGATAGTGGCGAGGAAGTTCTTGGGTACCGATCCTGGAGCGAGGAGTTGGGGCGAAGAAGGCTGGCGGTGAGTTTCCTTCCTGCCCCAGCTGTCCCCTCACACCAATCTCCCCCACAACCCTGTCCTGCTGGCCCTTTGGCTGGGAGAGTGTGGCTGCTGGCTGAGGCTGTTTGACTCGTGTGTGTCCCAAGGAGAAGCAGCGTGTCACTGTGGGTGGGCCCTGTGGGCCAGTACAGTGTGCTCGAGTGTATAAAATGTCCCCATATGTGTCAGGGCATGTTCCCATTCTGGAATTGTCACGTGTGCTGTGCTCTCCATGTTAGTCTCTAGATACCACATAGCATCCCAGAAGGCGAAAAGCAAATTGCAGAGCTAAAGAATTAATGGCTGCAAGAGTCGCTGTGGTTAAATCATCAGGTCGCGAACCACAAGGTCAGGGGTTTGAACCCACCAGCTGCTCCTGGGGAAAAGGCTGAGGCAGTCTGCCTCTGTATAGTTACAGCCTTGGACACTCTATGGAGCAGCTCCACTTCGGCCTATGGGCGCCATGAGTCAGAGGCAACTGGATGGCAGTGGATTTGAGGTGGTTTTTTTAGTACTTAGAGGTGTCTGGTGGCACCATGGTTACAGCATTCAGCTGCTAACCTATATATCGGCAGTTGGAACCCAACAGCCATTCTGCGGGATAAAGATGAGGCAGTCTACTTTCATAAAGATTTACAGCCTTGGAAACCCCATGGGACACACACTCTCTCACACACACACACACACACACACACTCTCTCTCTCTCTCTCTCTCTCCCTCTCGTCATTGTAACTGAGTGGACTCCTGGGCCATGGATTTGGTGTCGAGGCCATTTCCCAGCATACCACCGCCACCTGGAGGACGAAGTCACCAAGTTTACCCTTTTGTAATAAGTCCGCTCCCTGGCAATCCGTTTGCTTTCTTTCTTTCTTTCTTTTTTTAAATCTAGTGCCTAAGGCATTTGGTTGCTAACCAGAAGGCTGCCGGTTGAAACCCAACAGGCACTCCACCAAAGGAAGACTGGGCAATCTACTTCCGTAAAGATTTACCGCCCTGGAAACCCAAAGAGGGTCACTGTGAGTGGGAATCGACTCCATGGCAGTGAGTTTTGGTTTCTGTCTCCCTGGGAAGGAGCCCCTGGTGGTGCCAAAACCAAAAATCCAAACTCACTGC